GCAATTCTGACTTTATATCTCGCAATTCTGACTTTATATCTCACAATTCTGACTTTATATCTCACAATTCTGACTTTATAACTCGCAATTCTGACTTTATAACTCACAATTCTGACTTTATATCTTGCAATTCTGACTTTATATCTCGCAATTCTGACTTTATATCTTGCAGTTCTGACTTTATAACTCACAATTGTGAGTTTATATCATGCCATTCTGAGAGGAAAAGGTCAGAATTGTGAGATTAAAAATTAAAAAAAAAAAAAAAAACACAATGTATTATAAACATTATATCTATTTTGATTGTCAAAAGGCAGGAATATATTGTTTAGTTTGTGTTTTTTGGTATGTTGCCCACTGCCCAGCCCTAATGATTATTACAACAGTGCTGCTTGATAAAAGCCCAGTGCTGAGCGTGTTTTGTGTGTTTATCTGTTCAGCAGTGGGTTTGTTTAGCTGGAGGCAGCCGTGTTCTTCTGTGCCGGCTCTCCATTGTGTCTGCTTCGAGTGCCCACCTCACATTATGTATTCTGTATTTAAAAGCTGCATCTGCCATGAGTAATTAAAGCAGACACTTCCTTTGAAGATGAGGAGCGTGCATCTGTCCACACACACACATCTCTCCAGCACTCAATCACACACACACGCTCGCACACACGCTCACACACACGCTCGCACACGCTCACACTCACATGCTCGCACACGCTCACACTCACACTCACACGCACTCACACACACACGCACTCGCTCGCTCACACTCTCGCACACGCGCGCACACACACACTTGCACACTTACACTCGCACTCACACACACACGCACACACACACTTGCACACTTACACTTACACTCGCACACTTACACTCGGCTGCATCTGCCATGAGTAATTAAAGCAGACACTTCCTTTGAAGATGAGGAGCATGCATCTGTCCACACACACATCTCTCCAGCACTCAATCACACACACACGCTCGCACACACGCTCACACACACACTCGCACACACTCACACTCACATGCTCGCACACGCTCACACTCACACTCACACGCACACGCACTCACACACACACACACACACACACACACCCCCTCTCTCTCTCTCTCTCTCTCTCACACAACTTGCACACTTACACTTACACTCGCACACTTACACTCGCACTCACACACACACACACACACTCGCACACACTCTCTCACACACACACACACACACACACACACACACACAGGTTTGTTTTTGTGAAAAGTGGGTTCTCTCCATAGGCGTAATGGTTTTTATACTGTACAGACCGTATATTCTATTGCCCTACACCAACCCTACCCCTAAACCTACCCCTCACAGGAGACTTTCTGCTATTTCAGATTTTCAATACACTCCATTCTGTGTGATTTATAAGCGTTTTGAAAAGTGGGGACATGGGGTAATGTCCTGAAAAGTCACCTTCTCCTTGTAATACCTGTCATACCTTTGTCATTATACACATTTATGTCCTCATTTGTCACAAAAACGCACACGCACTCGCGCACACACACTCGCACACACACACACTCACACACACGCACTCACACACACACAC